GACTTCATCGCGTGAGGAGATTTAGCAGCTGGAGGAGCGGCGAAAACACGAGCTCCTTTGCTCGGAGGCACTCTTCTGTTGATTGAAGCTCCTTTGCTGAAAGGGGCTGCCGTGTTCGCGTGAGACCCTCTGGTCGGTGGAGGAACAGAAGCGAATCGAGAGAGGCGGTCTGCAAGGACGACGACGGCGCGAAAGCAGGTGCCTTTGAAGCGAAAGCAGCGCGTCCGTTGCTGCCGGCATTCGACGAGACGTTTTCAGAAACGAAGCATTTGAAAGCGGACATGTCCGCCGGCCCTGACGGCTGTAAGAGCTCGTCCTCGCTGTCGTATCCACCCGAACGATCTCCGCCGTTAGATGCGGGACAACCGTGATCCGGAACATCAATGTCGTCAATTTCGAAATTTGGGTCCAGAGCATGATGTGAGCTTGGTGATGATCCTATCTGGCCGGTAAGCGGGGTCTGATAAGTCATAGTCGCTTCGTCGAGAGGCCCTTTTCTAAACCGAAGTCGAAACTATCGAGAGGTTCGTTCTCTAGCCAAGGTTTAAAATAGTTTAATCGGCAACCGCAATATAAATCACGAACAGGACGATGTCTGGTTGACTGAGATATTTCCAACAAGGAACGGTGTAATCTGCCTGGCCGAAACTGTCAGCCCTGATAGACATTGTGAAATGGATAAACGCCATCTCCTTTGACAACCTTGGTTTCTCCGAGTTCGAGCGAGGTGACGAACTTGTAACAAGCAAATTCAAATTTGAATTGCCGTAATTTGGGCGACTTTGGGAGGGATGCATCGCAACCGTGTAATCGCCCCACCCCTCCTTCACTCTTGATCTTGCCCGTCTATCACCAGCCCTTTCTGGAGTTGCGTCACTGCCAATTCGGCCAATTTGCTACACTGAAGATAACCTCATAAATATGAATAGACCAAATGTAAGCACAAGCCTGTTTGATTAACAAGCAACTCGCCTTCTCCTACGATTGCAACAAATAGAACACAGAAGGCAGGCGTAAGACGCCAAATCCTGAATCCTGTATACCCACGCACCCTGCAATTTCATAGTACAGAAATAAATGCTGAGACTTTAGTTGCTATACAAACCTTACAACACGCATGCACGACAAAGATGCGGCCATCAAGATGAGCCACAAGAAATGTGTAAGTGGTCAACATGGCTGCGTACCTCAGGGGAGTATTGCCCGGCCAACAATGGGGCTTGTTCTTGCGACCCAGTGGCGGCATCTCCACGTACAAATGCCTATGCACATGCATCAATCAAGCACAAGGTCATAAGAACCAGACAGGGAGGACAAGATTGTTGGAGCATGAGGAGGTGCTGAAAGCGAGCATGCAGACAATTAGTTCTCTGATTTAGGTAAACTTTTTGAAATTGGATACTGCTATCCTTGATATTGATCAGATATTGACAACAACGTACCTGAAATTCAGCCACATTGCATTCCTCATTGCAATGAGACACATGCAAAAGCACGAGGCACATAAAAATGCAACTTACCTGGAACTCAGCCACGTAGACTTCCTGCTTCCTGGTTTGTAGTGATCCAGGCCTGAACAGATAAGCAGCGAACAGGAGGTACGCAACAGGTGGCAAGAAGCAGCTAATCAGAAGGCGCGATGATAACAACGAATTACGAGGAGAGCATTGCGTAGCATACGAGAGATTATCCAACATCCTCCTCACGTCACACCTCACCTCATTGCTCTCACAACAGCCACAGCCTGCATCAGGAAAAGAGAACGGGTAGTATACAGGGGAAATTGTACATGTTTAGCGCAAAGATTGCGAGCTAAAAAAAAAAAAAGCAACAACAACAACAACGCGGGGCCTTGGAGCCAAGCAAAGGAATAACAACTGAAACTGAATGGGACGACGATTGGGGAGGGAGACACTGAAGGAGTTGCTTACATCAGCAGCTGCTAGGGAGTTTGCTGCAACCAAGTAACATGCAATGACAAGGCCTGTCCTTCCTGCGCATTCAAATAATTTCATGTCACCCACATGGTGTTCAGAACTGTGCGTTGTGCAACAGGCACACACGCTAGGCAGACACTTTTTTTTGTGAGCAAGTTGGAAAGAGTTCGTCACGGCTGCTTTGAACAGCGAAAGTTGTGTTGCATACCTAGGCCAGCATGGCAGTGAACAGCCACCTGCACCAAACGAACAAGCAAATATCATTAGGTGGTCTTTATCAACCATTGTTAAGAGCCCAGAAATGAAGCATGAATGGTTTATACAGATACTGGCAGTGAAAGTACACCTGCTATAGAATAAATACCTTTGAGTAACTATGAACACGGAAAAAGAAAGGCTGCACAGATTGCACACCTTGTGGCGGCGGCCAATGGCGAGGGAGATGCTCTGCACGATGGAGAGCATGGTTGGGAAGGGCGGACATGCCATGTCCTTCCATGGTGCACGCAGGTAACCGACTGGCCACGCAGGGACGGAAGGATGATATGGGGATGTCAGTGCAGGAGTGGTTGCGGGGTGAGAGTGGGGAAGAAAGTGAGTGGCATGGTTGGGAAGGGGGGGCATGACACGTCCTTCCAGGGTGCATGCAGGTAACCCACTGGCCACACAACACAAGCACGGACGGATGGACGGAAGGGATATGAATGCCATGGATGTTTCTGTCAGTGCAGGAGTGCTTGAGAGTGAAAGCGAGGGAGAGGGAGACAATGACAAGAACAGAGACCAGTTGAAAAGGGGGAGTAACTGAGTTCTAAAAAAGCAAGATTTCGGCAAAAGCATAAGATAATGTTTGTCAGGAGCGGACCTCCAGCCTTGATGAACTTGTCAGGAGTGTAGGAGAATCCTGATGCTGTGATCCCTGACCCACACCACGGATGCTCCCCTGCTTCCTGTGTGCGTGCACGGAGAAAGAAAGCATTGATTTCCGTTTCTGGTGCGCTCAAAACGAGAGATGACGATTGAGCCTGGTCCTTTTTTCCAGCAGGAATGTTCTATGCACCCATATGTACCTACATATGCATTCATGCATACCACCATAAGCACCCATCTGTACCTCCACTACCTCCATATGAACCCATCCGTACCTCCAGGTTCACAATCAGCCTGATGCCTCGTTCCGCGAATCTATCCGCCAACCCCTCCGCAATCATCGCGTCCGTCGGTCTCGCGCACGCCAGCAGCTCGTTCGTCACCCAATCCGAGTGCAAACCGCGAAACGCCTCTTGACCGTTCTGCAACCGGAAATCCTCGTGTCGGCACCCGGAGGGGGACCCCAGGCCTTCTAAAAAGCAGACTATCCTATCCGTGACGCCGTTTTCTTTCCAGGAAGGAGCCGATGAGTTCGCGGATGAATTCTCAGATGTCTCAAACGTGGAATCAGTGACGCCATTTTGGTGTCTCGTAGACTCGTAAGAAGACGAGGGGGACGTGTTGGCAATCATGATATTGGAACGAGGGAACTGAAGGAAGTGCGGTGTGATACAAATAGGCTGCTGTGGTCGTCAGAAGGCTTTTTCTGTCGTAATTTGGTAGAATTTCCTATGTGCTCGCAAAATCGTTACTACATGACGGTCCAGACTACCTTGACGGTTTCAGCTGCCAGCTGGTCGGAGACTAAAAGCAGTTTGCCGGCAAGCTCGGCAAACGAATTCTAGGTTTCAGCTGCTAACTGGTCTCGGGAATCAATATCACCGCGGGTGGCGTCAAACCGAAGACAGCCGCGGCGAGGAACACAACAACTAGAAATGCACCTAATCGCAGCGTCAGCTGAGAGATAAATTACGGCGGACGATGGTTTCCTAGCTTGCTGCTGCCAACACCAGCTTGTTCTAGCCTACAGAAATGCACTGACACAGGTGTGCTGCCGAAGGCACGGAGGGAGAAACGAATGTTTCAAAACTCACTGTCAGAATTCACTTCACACTCGTTCTGATCTTGCCGAACCGAACGCACCAAAACTTGACAGCGGGTGGTGCTGGGCTCCCAAACCACAGTGGCGAGACTCGATTGGCCAGATAAGTTTAACCAGGCAGGCCTAACGTAGCTTGCCATGGAAGCAGGTTTGGCAACCCGAGGCAAGAACAGGCTGGCCTTATGGTGCTTTCTCCAAATTCGTTTTCCACAACGGTACATATTGTCTCCAAAACGATTGAGCTTGGTGCGGAGTGATTTGTTCCAGCTTTCTTGGGATGCTTTTTATTCCATTTTGGATTCCTTGTGCTGCTGGTTGCATCCTGAATCCTTCTTCCTCTGTTGATTGCACTTTACCGAGGAACCTGCTAGCGGGGATTATAAATCAGTCGCAGAACAGCAGGCCAATTTCACTGAACCTCCGTGCTCCGTGCTTGAGTTACTACCCATTCCTTACCTGCAAGATTAGTGACATGGCTTGTGTTTCGCAAAGTAGAGATTGAGTCAATAGTGGGAGAAGCAGGAGAGTAGAAATATCGTGCGAGCGGAAGTAGCACGCTCTGGGATCACAGCAGCCATGGCTGTGTCTGATGCAGCGGAGTGGACGGAGCTCTCCAACTGCTTCTATCGCGTACAGCCTTTACCAGACCTGCAATGGCAGGTAAAGAACACGTGACTCCTTCCTCCTGTATCGAGAACTAGCGCTTCGGACACGCAAACGGCCACGTTTTCCGATTGTCGATGCTAATTCCAGTCCGTTAACGTCATGACGATAAGCAGCATCTGTGTAGTCACTTTCCGTTTGTGTACACTTCCGTATAGGGTCTACTACATGAGAACATAGTAGCTGGTTCGATTCTTGTAAAATGCGCAGGTGGTCGTCGGTTTTGGAGGCGCCTCAAAAGTCCCTTCTAAACGAGGACCTATCAGACCGCATGTTCGCCATCAACGCGTGTACTTTGAGACAACTGGAATTCCCCCCTGAAATAGGACCTACCAGACTGCATAATTGTCAGCTTTTGATACGGCTTGACACTCCCATTTCTGCTATCCTGATCCTTTCCATCTCTCGCTCCCCCTCCCACCACGTAGGACGTGGACCTATCAGAACTCATGGTGGCCTGTGCGCCGTACGGCGGACCAATTGCCACAGTCCGCGATCCGAACCACCTTCCCAGGCGCGGCAGCAGTGCAGGCTCGGCAGCAGGTTCGGCAGCACAGGCTCGGCAGTACATATCTGTGTTCTCAGCAGCTGGGCGGCCGATCTCGCGGTTTCTGTGGGAACCGCCGGGAGGGAGGCTGATGGGGCTGGGGTGGAGAGAGGATGCGGTGGGGGGCCTGGTGCTTGTAACGGTGCTTGAAGACGGCACTGTTCACCAAGTGAGATTACAGGAGGAGGGGGGGGGGGGGGAGGGGACGTTTTCCTACCATCACTGTCCCGCCAGGTGGGAGGTTGATGGGGTTGGGGTGAAGAGAGGATGCGGTGAGGGTCTGGTGCTTGTAACGGTGCTTGAAGACGGCACTGTTCACCAAGTGAGATTACAGGGGGGGGAAATGTTTTCCTACCATCACTGACCCGCCAGGTGGGAGGTTGATGGGTTGGGGTGGAGAGAGGATGCGGTGAGGGGGCTGGTGCTTGTAACGGTGCTTGAAGACGGCACTGTTCACCAGGTGAGATAACAGCGAAGGAATCTTTGTGTGTCTTTCGTTTATGTTGATCTGACAGAAGCTTCAGTTCGCCCTTTACTCCATTCTCTGTTCCACACACGAACGTGCAGAGTGCCCTTCCCATGGGAATGTCACTCTCCCCACTCCCACCCGCCGTCCCTGAACGCCCCACCCCTACACCTACGTGCAGTGTTCAATGCATGGGAAGGGCACTCTCCCCCGCATCCCCCTCCACACCACCAACCTAGAGGGTATCACGGAGGCTCACATATTCGGCATGCGAGGGGGAGGAGATAGAGGAGGAGGAGGGGAAGGGGGAGATACGGGGGGTGATGGCGCGGAGGGGGAGGCGAGGAATGGGGGAGGGGAGGAAGAAGGGGGGAGGAGCAGAGGGGGAGGGGGAGGGCGTGTGGCGGCAGGAGTGGTGTGCTTGACTGAGAGCTGTCAGCTTCTAGCAATGGTGGACTTCGATGTGAGTATAACGAAAGTGGAGGACTTTGATGTGAGTATAACGAAAGTGGAGGACTTTAATGTGAGTATAACGAAAGTGGAGGACTTTGATGTGAGTGGAAAGGTGGGTGGTACGTGAGGTGAGAGTAATGGGGTGGGGTAAGGAGGCTGGCATAGGCACCAGTGGTGTGCTTGACTGAGAGTTGTCAGCTGCTGGCAATGGTGGACTCTGATGTGAGTATAACGAAAGGTGGATGTGGGTGGGAAGTTGGACGTGAGTGTGTTGGCTTGTGACTGTGATGGTTTTCAGAGTGGATAAGGTGGACTTTCACGTCCACAAACCACCTGTGGACCTGTGGTTTATAAAATCGTAGAGGCGTGATTGCGAACAATCTGTCAGGCAGAGGCTCGGGGACATTAACGACAACGTACCCCGTTGCCCCTTCTTTCCCCCCTTTCCCCCCTTTCCCCTTTTCCCCCTTTCCCCCCTCTCTCCACAGGTTTTTCCCCTGGCGGGCCCCGGTCTGTCAGAGCAATTGACAGTTTCAAATTCCTTTCCCCTTCCTCACACTCCCTTCTCCCTTTTTTCCATATCCCCCTTTCCCCCATCCCCCCCACCCCACAGGAACCAGAGGTCTTCCCCCTGGCGGACCCCGGCCTCTCAGAGCCACTAACAGGTTTTAATGCCTTTCCCCTTCCCCACTCTCCCCTCCCCCTTCCCCGCTTCCCCCCATTCCCCCCATTTTCCCCCCAACAGGAACCAGAGGTCTTCCCCCTGGTGGTCCCCGGCCTCTCAGAGCCATTGACTGTTTCCAGCGCCATTCTCCTTTTCACCTCCCTCCCCACTCCCTAACACACCTTCCCCTTTCCGTCCCTCCCTCTTCCAACAGGAGCCAGAGGTCTTCCCCCTGGCGGACCCCGGCCTCTCAGAGCCACTCACATTGGCAAACCCCTCGGGCCAAACTCCTTTCGCTCGCACTCCCACCAACCGTACCCCACCCAACAGGAACCAGAGGTATTCCCCCTGGCGGACCCCGGCCTCTCAGAGCCGCCCGCCTGCATGGCTGTGCTGGAGCCCGTGATGACGTCACTGGATGACATCAGCGCTTCTCAGGTGGCGGTGCTGCTGGGAACGGAGGCGGCTCTGCTGCGGGTGGATGGGGAGACGGTGCAGCGCGTGGTGAGTAGGAGGCGGGGGGAGGGGGAAGTAGAGGGGAGGAGTGGGGGGAAGGCTGTTGGCTTTGAGTTTGAATAGATGGCACTTGGTGGTGGTGGTGCTGCTGGGAACGGAGGCGGCTCTGCTGCGGGTGGACGGGGAGACAGTGCAGCGCGTGGTGAGTGGTTGAAGGGGTGGGTGGGGGTTGAGAGTTGTTGTGAGGGTGTTGGTGGCGGCCTGGCTACCACAAAGTTTTACTGCTTGGCACAGATCCTGCTCTGCTCTGCCCACCTGTCCGCAGCCCACCTGTCTGCATTCGACAACTCCGGCACAGATCCTGCTCTGCTCTGCTCTGCTCTGCTCTGCTCTGCTCTGCTGCGCGTGGATGGGCCGATGGCGCAGCATGTGTCGTTCTGCATTCTCACCTCCCCTCTTCTCCCTCACCTCCCCCATTCTCTCACAGGGCGCCCCTGAGATGTCCACAGCAGTGCAGCGCGCATCGCTCCCCATTCTCCCCTTTCCCCCCTCACCCCCCCCAATCTCCCCTCCTTCTCCTCCCTCACCCCCCTCACCTCCCCCACTTCCCCTCCCCTCAACTGCTCGCAGGGTGCCCCAGAGATGTCCACAGCAGTGCAGCGCATGGCAGTGTCAGCTTCCGGAAAGCTTCTGGCGTGCTTCACGGCTGACGGGCAGCTGCATGTGCTGCTGACGACAGACCTCTCCAGGCGGATCTCCCACTATGACACTCAGGTGGGTTAATAGACTGGGATATTTAAAAACACTGGGGTGATTACACTCGCGGGGGATAGCTTGACGTCAGACCTCTCCAGGCGGATCTCCCACTATGACACTCAGGCGAGGGGTGGCGCAAGTAGACCCAAATTGTTAGTAGCACTTGGGTAATTACCCCTAGCTTGACGTCAGACCTCTCCAGGCAGATCTCCCATCATGATGCTCAGGTGGTTGGGTTAATAGACCCAGGTGGGTATATATACTCGGATGGTTAGAAACACTCGGTGTCAGACCTCTCCAGGCGGGTCTTCCACTACGACATTTAGGTGGGAGGTGGGGTAAATAGTATTGGACGGTCAGTAACACTTGGATGATTACACCCATGTGGGTAGCTTGACGCCAGACCTCTCCAGTCCAAGTTTCTACTACGACACGCAGTGGGCGGTCCAATAGACTGTTGTAGATAGAAGAATTTGGTTGATTACACCCATGTGGGTAGCCACATATGCTGTTGTTGCCACTCTTGTGAAGTGCCCAAGTCCCCTTTGCCATGCACATAACATCCCCCACCTCTTCCTCTCCCCCTGCAGATCGTGCTACCACCAGACGCCATGGCATGGTGTGGGGAGGACGCGGTGCTGCTCTCCTGGCAGCACCCACCTGCACTCATGCTTATGGACCCTGGGCATGCCATCAAGTGCTCTCTGCCCTGCCCTGACCGCCCATGTGCCCACTGCTTGTGTGCAGATAGTGCTACCACCAGATGCCATGGCATGGTGTGGAGAGGACGCGGTGCTGCTCTCCTGGCAGCACCCCCCTGCCCTCATGCTCGTCGGCCCTGGGGATGCCATCAAATACTCATTAGGAGGGGAAGAGGACGACGAGGAGGAGGAGGTGGAGGGGGAGGAGGAAGATGGTGAGATAGAGGGAGAGGCAGGAGGGGAATTGAGTAGGCGCCGCGCGTTCGGCTCGGCAGCTCTTCGCAGGTGTGTACTGGTTGAAATGTCTCAAATCAAATCTACTTTCACCCACTTGCATGCATGTCAAGTGTGCTGCATGCATGGCCCGTCTCCTTCCCCTACCCTTCTGGTTCAACGCTTGTGGTTTTCCCATTATCACCACGCACTCCCCCTTTTCCTGTTTTTCTCGGTGTTCCAGCCTCGGAATTGAGCCCATTCCTCCATGCTCTTTGAAGTTTGCAGAAATCACTTCGTTCTCTTTCATGAGTGACATGCCATTCACTCTTCCCTTACACTTTCGCCTGTTTTGTTTGACCCATTACCTCCCCTACTTTTTCCCCACCCCTTCTGCTTCCCCTCTCCACACCACAGTGTGCCAGCGCCAGCATCAGCTCTTGACACCACCACCAGCACCACCGACAGCTGCCTAATTCTCATTCCAGAGTGCGACGGCGTCCGCCTGCTCTCCTCCCTCCACTCTGACTTCATCTCTCATCTCTCCTTCCCCTGCCTTCCTCACACCACAGTGTGCCAGCGCCAGCATCAGCTCTTGACACCACCACCAGCACCGACAGCTGCCTAATTCTCATCCCCGAGTGCGACGGCGTCCGCCTGCTCTCCTCCTCCCACTCCGACTTCATCTCTCGGGTTCCCGAACCCACCGTAGCCGCCTTTGCCCTCTCCAGCACCGCTCTCCTGATAGAGGTGTTTCACTCACTCCGTTCAACGCCTCGTTCCCCCATTGCCGGTTTCCCATTACCCTTTTGCCCTCCCTCTGTTTTCCCTGCCCATCACACCAGTGTGCCAGCGCCAGCATCAGCGCTTGACACCACCACCACCACCACCACCACCGACAGCTGCCTGATCCTCATCCCCGAGTGCGACGGCGTCCGTCTCCTCTCCTCCTCCCACTCCGACTTCATCTCTCGGGTTCCCGAACCCACCGTAGCCGCCTTTGCTCTCGCAAGCACCGCACCCCCTGCTCTACTCCTAGAGGCGTTTTCGCTGTTCGAGAGGCGGTCGGGGAAGGCGGATGAGCACGTGAGGGCAATGGGGGTGGCTGTGATGGGGGAGGCGGTGCGAGGGTGCATGCAGGCTGCAGCGCATGAGGGGGATGTGGATGGGCAGAAGCGGCTTCTAGCTGCTGCTGCTTTTGGCAGGGCCTTCTGTAGGTGAGACAGGATGGTGGAGTGGGTGATGTGCTGATGGGGGAGGCGGTGCGAGGGTGCATGCAGGCTGCAGCGCATGAGGGGGATGTGAATGGGCAGAAGCGGCTTCTATCCGCTGCTGCCTTTGGCAGAGCCTTCTGCAGGTGAGCCAGGATGGTAGATCTCGAGTACGATCAGATGGAGTGGGTGATGTGCTGATGGGGGAGGCGGTGCGAGGGTGCATGCAGGCTGCAGCGCATGAGGGGGATGTGAATGGGCAGAAGCGGCTTCTATCCGCTGCTGCCTTTGGCAGAGCCTTCTGCAGGTGAGCCAGGATGGTAGATCTCGAGTACGATCAGATGGAGTGGGTGATGTGCTGATGGGGGAGGCGGTGCGAGGGTGCATGCAGGCTGCAGCGCATGAGGGGGATGTGAATGGGCAGAAGCGGCTTCTATCCGCTGCTGCCTTTGGCAGAGCCTTCTGCAGGTGAGCCAGGATGGTAGATCTCGAGTACGATCAGATGGAGTGGGTGATGTGCTGATGGGGGAGGCGGTGCGAGGGTGCATGCAGGCTGCAGCGCATGAGGGGGATGTGAATGGGCAGAAGCGGCTTCTATCCGCTGCTGCCTTTGGCAGAGCCTTCTGCAGGTGAGCCAGGATGGTAGATCTCGAGTACGATCAGATGGAGTGGGTGATGTGCTGATGGGGGAGGCGGTGCGAGGGTGCATGCAGGCTGCAGCGCATGAGGGGGATGTGAATGGGCAGAAGCGGCTTCTATCCGCTGCTGCCTTTGGCAGAGCCTTCTGCAGGTGAGCCAGGATGGTAGATCTCGAGTACGATCAGATGGAGTGGGTGATGTGCTGATGGGGGAGGCGGTGCGAGGGTGCATGCAGGCTGCAGCGCATGAGGGGGATGTGAATGGGCAGAAGCGGCTTCTATCCGCTGCTGCCTTTGGCAGAGCCTTCTGCAGGTGAGCCAGGATGGTAGATCTCGAGTACGATCAGATGGAGTGGGTGATGTGCTGATGGGGGAGGCGGTGCGAGGGTGCATGCAGGCTGCAGCGCATGAGGGGGATGTGAATGGGCAGAAGCGGCTTCTATCCGCTGCTGCCTTTGGCAGAGCCTTCTGCAGGTGAGCCAGGATGGTAGATCTCGAGTACGATCAGATGGAGTGGGTGATGTGCTGATGGGGGAGGCGGTGCGAGGGTGCATGCAGGCTGCAGCGCATGAGGGGGATGTGAATGGGCAGAAGCGGCTTCTATCCGCTGCTGCCTTTGGCAGAGCCTTCTGCAGGTGAGCCAGGATGGTAGATCTCGAGTACGATCAGATGGAGTGGGTGATGTGCTGATGGGGGAGGCGGTGCGAGGGTGCATGCAGGCTGCAGCGCATGAGGGGGATGTGAATGGGCAGAAGCGGCTTCTATCCGCTGCTGCCTTTGGCAGAGCCTTCTGCAGGTGAGCCAGGATGGTAGATCTCGAGTACGATCAGATGGAGTGGGTGATGTGCTGATGGGGGAGGCGGTGCGAGGGTGCATGCAGGCTGCAGCGCATGAGGGGGATGTGAATGGGCAGAAGCGGCTTCTATCCGCTGCTGCCTTTGGCAGAGCCTTCTGCAGGTGAGCCAGGATGGTAGATCTCGAGTACGATCAGATGGAGTGGGTGATGTGCTGATGGGGGAGGCGGTGCGAGGGTGCATGCAGGCTGCAGCGCATGAGGGGGATGTGAATGGGCAGAAGCGGCTTCTATCCGCTGCTGCCTTTGGCAGAGCCTTCTGCAGGTGAGCCAGGATGGTAGATCTCGAGTACGATCAGATGGAGTGGGTGATGTGCTGATGGGGGAGGCGGTGCGAGGGTGCATGCAGGCTGCAGCGCATGAGGGGGATGTGAATGGGCAGAAGCGGCTTCTATCCGCTGCTGCCTTTGGCAGAGCCTTCTGCAGGTGAGCCAGGATGGTAGATCTCGAGTACGATCAGATGGAGTGGGTGATGTGCTGATGGGGGAGGCGGTGCGAGGGTGCATGCAGGCTGCAGCGCATGAGGGGGATGTGAATGGGCAGAAGCGGCTTCTATCCGCTGCTGCCTTTGGCAGAGCCTTCTGCAGGTGAGCCAGGATGGTAGATCTCGAGTACGATCAGATGGAGTGGGTGATGTGCTGATGGGGGAGGCGGTGCGAGGGTGCATGCAGGCTGCAGCGCATGAGGGGGATGTGAATGGGCAGAAGCGGCTTCTATCCGCTGCTGCCTTTGGCAGAGCCTTCTGCAGGTGAGCCAGGATGGTAGATCTCGAGTACGATCAGATGGAGTGGGTGATGTGCTGATGGGGGAGGCGGTGCGAGGGTGCATGCAGGCTGCAGCGCATGAGGGGGATGTGAATGGGCAGAAGCGGCTTCTATCCGCTGCTGCCTTTGGCAGAGCCTTCTGCAGGTGAGCCAGGATGGTAGATCTCGAGTACGATCAGATGGAGTGGGTGATGTGCTGATGGGGGAGGCGGTGCGAGGGTGCATGCAGGCTGCAGCGCATGAGGGGGATGTGAATGGGCAGAAGCGGCTTCTATCCGCTGCTGCCTTTGGCAGAGCCTTCTGCAGGTGAGCCAGGATGGTAGATCTCGAGTACGATCAGATGGAGTGGGTGATGTGCTGATGGGGGAGGCGGTGCGAGGGTGCATGCAGGCTGCAGCGCATGAGGGGGATGTGAATGGGCAGAAGCGGCTTCTATCCGCTGCTGCCTTTGGCAGAGCCTTCTGCAGGTGAGCCAGGATGGTAGATCTCGAGTACGATCAGATGGAGTGGGTGATGTGCTGATGGGGGAGGCGGTGCGAGGGTGCATGCAGGCTGCAGCGCATGAGGGGGATGTGAATGGGCAGAAGCGGCTTCTATCCGCTGCTGCCTTTGGCAGAGCCTTCTGCAGGTGAGCCAGGATGGTAGATCTCGAGTACGATCAGATGGAGTGGGTGATGTGCTGATGGGGGAGGCGGTGCGAGGGTGCATGCAGGCTGCAGCGCATGAGGGGGATGTGAATGGGCAGAAGCGGCTTCTATCCGCTGCTGCCTTTGGCAGAGCCTTCTGCAGGTGAGCCAGGATGGTAGATCTCGAGTACGATCAGATGGAGTGGGTGATGTGCTGATGGGGGAGGCGGTGCGAGGGTGCATGCAGGCTGCAGCGCATGAGGGGGATGTGAATGGGCAGAAGCGGCTTCTATCCGCTGCTGCCTTTGGCAGAGCCTTCTGCAGGTGAGCCAGGATGGTAGATCTCGAGTACGATCAGATGGAGTGGGTGATGTGCTGATGGGGGAGGCGGTGCGAGGGTGCATGCAGGCTGCAGCGCATGAGGGGGATGTGAATGGGCAGAAGCGGCTTCTATCCGCTGCTGCCTTTGGCAGAGCCTTCTGCAGGTGAGCCAGGATGGTAGATCTCGAGTACGATCAGATGGAGTGGGTGATGTGCTGATGGGGGAGGCGGTGCGAGGGTGCATGCAGGCTGCAGCGCATGAGGGGGATGTGAATGGGCAGAAGCGGCTTCTATCCGCTGCTGCCTTTGGCAGAGCCTTCTGCAGGTGAGCCAGGATGGTAGATCTCGAGTACGATCAGATGGAGTGGGTGATGTGCTGATGGGGGAGGCGGTGCGAGGGTGCATGCAGGCTGCAGCGCATGAGGGGGATGTGAATGGGCAGAAGCGGCTTCTATCCGCTGCTGCCTTTGGCAGAGCCTTCTGCAGGTGAGCCAGGATGGTAGATCTCGAGTACGATCAGATGGAGTGGGTGATGTGCTGATGGGGGAGGCGGTGCGAGGGTGCATGCAGGCTGCAGCGCATGAGGGGGATGTGAATGGGCAGAAGCGGCTTCTATCCGCTGCTGCCTTTGGCAGAGCCTTCTGCAGGTGAGCCAGGATGGTAGATCTCGAGTACGATCAGATGGAGTGGGTGATGTGCTGATGGGGGAGGCGGTGCGAGGGTGCATGCAGGCTGCAGCGCATGAGGGGGATGTGAATGGGCAGAAGCGGCTTCTATCCGCTGCTGCCTTTGGCAGAGCCTTCTGCAGGTGAGCCAGGATGGTAGATCTCGAGTACGATCAGATGGAGTGGGTGATGTGCTGATGGGGGAGGCGGTGCGAGGGTGCATGCAGGCTGCAGCGCATGAGGGGGATGTGAATGGGCAGAAGCGGCTTCTATCCGCTGCTGCCTTTGGCAGAGCCTTCTGCAGGTGAGCCAGGATGGTAGATCTCGAGTACGATCAGATGGAGTGGGTGATGTGCTGATGGGGGAGGCGGTGCGAGGGTGCATGCAGGCTGCAGCGCATGAGGGGGATGTGAATGGGCAGAAGCGGCTTCTATCCGCTGCTGCCTTTGGCAGAGCCTTCTGCAGGTGAGCCAGGATGGTAGATCTCGAGTACGATCAGATGGAGTGGGTGATGTGCTGATGGGGGAGGCGGTGCGAGGGTGCATGCAGGCTGCAGCGCATGAGGGGGATGTGAATGGGCAGAAGCGGCTTCTATCCGCTGCTGCCTTTGGCAGAGCCTTCTGCAGGTGAGCCAGGATGGTAGATCTCGAGTACGATCAGATGGAGTGGGTGATGTGCTGATGGGGGAGGCGGTGCGAGGGTGCATGCAGGCTGCAGCGCATGAGGGGGATGTGAATGGGCAGAAGCGGCTTCTATCCGCTGCTGCCTTTGGCAGAGCCTTCTGCAGGTGAGCCAGGATGGTAGATCTCGAGTACGATCAGATGGAGTGGGTGATGTGCTGATGGGGGAGGCGGTGCGAGGGTGCATGCAGGCTGCAGCGCATGAGGGGGATGTGAATGGGCAGAAGCGGCTTCTATCCGCTGCTGCCTTTGGCAGAGCCTTCTGCAGGTGAGCCAGGATGGTAGATCTCGAGTACGATCAGATGGAGTGGGTGATGTGCTGATGGGGGAGGCGGTGCGAGGGTGCATGCAGGCTGCAGCGCATGAGGGGGATGTGAATGGGCAGAAGCGGCTTCTATCCGCTGCTGCCTTTGGCAGAGCCTTCTGCAGGTGAGCCAGGATGGTAGATCTCGAGTACGA